AGAGGGGCTAATGTGTCTGCCGTAACCTCACACAGCTGGCGAGTGTATGTAAACCTCAGTACAGCTGAGCTTTACTGCCTCCCTCGAGAAGAGGCCGAGGGGCCTTGGCAAGGGAAGCACGCCTGGCACAAGGATGAAGGCAGGGGGCGAGCCCGTGGCACTGCCAGCCTCAGGCAGGGTCCGTTCAGGGGAGAGACTAAAGGTGGGGTGGCCAGACCAGATTGCAGGGGCGAGGCAGGAGCTCTGCTGCCGGCAGGGAGGAGGCCCTGGGCCCCCAGGCGTCTGGGCCAGTGGCAGTGCCATGACGTCCTCGGGCTCCAGCTGTCTAGCCAGTTTTATTCCAGAGACACTGACCCAACCTAACCAAGTCCCTAAACTCAGTCCTTTCATTAGACACCTTCCTCCCCTTGCAGATGTTTTCCAACCCTGATCCCTCCTGCTGTCAGACTGGAGGTCAGGTTAAGTTTGACATCAGGAGTTGGGGTCTCCTCATCCCACCCCCCCCAACAAAGATTCCCTTCACTCTGAGCCCCTCCCCCTCCTGACACCTGCCTCCCACAGTCCCCCACCATCCCCAGGGCGGCTTCCCGACTGTGTCCACCTGCAGGGAAGGCTGGGTGGGATGGTTTCCTCTCAGCAGCAGAAGGGGCAGGAGACCTTCAGCCATTTTCCTAACATTCTCTTACTGCTCCCAGAACTTGGTAGGTGTCCCGTTACATATAGAACAGCCCCTTGACGGTGATGGTTTGGGGGCGCCATGGTACCTTTAGAGGGCCTAGTGTTGTAACAGCCTTAAAAAATATATATTCAGATGTTTCCAATTATAAAAACTTCTCCTTCAAACCATAGGGTAGATGGAAAAATGTGAGCCGTGATCAGGATGGGCGTCAGGGCTGCCGAAGACTCGGGGATGGGGGTGTACTTTGCATGATATGAAAGAGACTGCATTTTGTAAGGGCTGATTCTGGTGTCTTGCCTGTTGGGAACCCGGTGGGGGATGCTGGCTCTAGGGCAGAGGAGGGGCAAGGGTGGAGGGGACAGCCTTGGGGGCTTCTCCTTCCTCTCCCTACTTCCTGGTGACCTGAGGGCAGCGGCCCATCCTGTCTCCTGGAGGAGGGGCTGAGAGCATTGCCCCATCCACTGCAGAGTCCCTAACCGAGAACTCCTACACCACGGCTCTACCACCAGATGGCCCTGTGGTCTTGGACAAGTGGCTGCCCTTCCCTGAAAGGGACAAGCCCTCTTGCAGGGTGGCCATGAAGGATCCGGGGAATGGTCAGGGGTCAGAGGCCCCAGATAACCAGCACTGTGGCGATCCCTGCCAGCCTCCCTGCACTCCTGCCTTACAGAGGAGGGAATGAGGCTCAGAAAAGAGTTAAGGGGGCCCTTACCCCTACCGTGAGATCAAAGTGTGCCCCTCCTGAGCTCACTGTCCACTCGTGGCAGGCAGAGCCAGGGGACCCCCTGTGGGGTTGGGATCACTGGGCCATGACCCTGGCTCAGCCTATCCCTCTGGTCCTCACAGAGCCACTGAACCCACCCAAGGGTGAGGTCCCTGGGGCCATGGAGGTGCCCACCGCCCCCGAGGAGCTGCCTGAGTCCGTGAGCCCGTCTGCTCCCCCGGCAGAGCTGGAGGTGCAGACTTCAGAGTGCGTCGTGTGCCTGGAACAGGAGGTGAGTCTGGGGCAGCAGCCCCTCTCCCCACGCACCAGCCGGGCCGGCACCCATCCTGAGCCTTTCCAGACTCGTGTTCTTTCTAGACACTTTTTTTCATTGGTAGAAGTGTATTGTGTTCATTAGAAACTTTGGGAAATCCAGGAAAGCAAAAAATACAGGCAATTACCGTGATCCTATGACCCAAATGTGAGCATTTTCTGGGGTTTATTTTCTTTTTTTGAAAGAGGGGGCTTTCCCCCCCTACTTAAGAAAAATTTCCCATGTCCTTAAATACTAACAGCACAATTTTCTCTGAAGAGGCTTTTAAAAAGCTGTCTTTAAAAATCTATAACAAATTAATGTTTATTGTAAAAATTAACATAGTGTATAAAATCTCCCCTCCCTCTGCCGTGCCATCCTACTTAAAAGAAGCAACCATGTTAGCAGTTGAATTACTCCACGGCCATGATGTGTAGGGAGGTGTTGGTGATAAATGGAACCAAACCCCTGCTTTTGGGCCCCATGTTTCTTCCTGCAAACCCTGCTGTACCAAATAGCCTTGAACGGAGTTGATTATTTCCTCAGGATAAATCCTAAAAAGAGGAAATGCCGAAGCAAAGCGCAAGCGTGCTTACGAGGCTTCCGCTCCATGCTGTTGGGAGTAGTTTGTAGACCGAGGGGCTGATCAGGATACAAAAAGGCAACAATTAAGACGGTCTACGCGTCCAAGGGGCAGGGCTGGTGAGACGCCGTGTGGCCTCCCATGTAGCTGTCGGAGGGCATGGAGGGTCCAGGACTGGTGGTGGGTGATGACCACCATCACGTGGTGCTATCGGGTGGTATCAGATGCTTCCGGTAAAGGACGGCGGGGCAGGGGGAGGTTGCCCAGCCTCCAGGAACAGGCGGGGCAGGACCCAGACGCTCCCCCTCCCTCCTCAGGCCCAGATGATCTTCCTCAATTGCGGCCACGTCTGCTGCTGCCAGCAGTGCTGCCAACCGCTGCGCACCTGCCCGCTGTGCCGCCGGGAGATCGTGCAGCGCCTCCGCATCTACCACAGCGGCTGAGCCGCCGCCTGCTCCGGACAGACCCGTGCAGCTCCCCTCTGCCCTGGGCCCTCGTCTCACAGCCTGGAGGTGCCCCCCGCCCCGCCCCTCCACGCACACCGGGGCGGAGGGCGGCGGAGCGTTCCAGACCCTGACGCGGCCGGTGTGAACGCGGTGGAGGAAGGGAGGACTCGCGGCCTGAGGACAGGGTCTGGGGTTTGGAGAAGCCTCCGTCTGAGCAGGAGACTGCGTGTCCTGGCCTCTGCGCTTGCCAGCCCTCTGTGCCGGTCCCCGCCCCTCCAGGAGCCCCGGGATCCTCGGCAGGAGGGTCCTCGGCAGGGTAACTTGGACAGCGCCGTCCCTCACGGTGGGTGCTGGGAGCGAAGGAGGGCCCCAACCCAGAAGTGGGGGAGGCCGGGGGTAGAGCTGGTGTGTGGTGTCGCCGTGGATCACTCTGGGCCGTCCTCAGGTTGTCCAGTGTAGGCCTTGTGCCACAAGTGACATTGGTCCCTCCTCACCTCCCTCTCTGGGTCCCCCTGCTGTCCAGATGTGCACCTCCTAGCCACCCCCATCCACCCCACCCCACCCCATCTCACAGGCAGGCAACCAGCTTGCAGACCCAAAGCAGGAATGTCAATAAATCCCCTTCCAGCCTGCTCCTTCCGTGTCATCACTGGGGCCCCCAGGAGCCTGGGGAGAGGAGGGGGCGGGCTTTACCTCAGTCAGGCAAAAGGAGGCAGGAGGTACAGGCATTCTCAAATGCAAAGTTAAACAAAATTCCCCTCATTACAGGTGGACAGACAGACTGGGCTCAGAAGGGCACAGGGAGGGTCAGCCGGAGCAGGTTGGCGGGGCAGCGGTGGGGGGTTGGGGAGGAGCAGAGGCATAAGAGAGTGGAGGCAGAAGCTGCCGAATGCCCAGTGCCTGGCAGCTGGGACAGGGCAGTGCTGGGTCTGGAGCCTGCCAGAGGTTTGATTCCCAAACCCGTGCAGTTGTGCAAGTTGTTCATTGTACAATTTTAGAAGGAGCCATGTACCTGTACTTGATGTAGAGCTGCACATTTATTGTGCATTTTCTGGTAGATGGTTTTGAACCGAGGACAGCTTTCTTTGAGCTAGAGGTGGGTCTGATTAGGGTACCTGGGCTCTGCCTCCAGCTACCCCTAACCCTGGCCGGCCTTCCAAGACTCCTTTCCCCACGAGTTAAGCGTGGGACACGATGGGGCCCGGATGCAGGCCAGTGGCCACCAGGGGGCACCCAGGTGCAATACTGGAAGCCCTGAGGTGGCAGAGCCCTGTCTCCCCTAGGCCTCTGTTTCCCTGCCTCATTAGGTCCTGTGGACTGAAACAGGATAGGACGAGGCCCCCTGTGAGTTCTGTTTTCCAGGCAAGAGCTGGGGTCTCCTCCCATACCCTATCCCCTCCCACCCAGGACCTGGGGAGCTTTGGTGGCTCCCTCTGCCCCAGACTTGGGCTCACCTTGGCCAAGAGGGGAGACTGAGACCTGGGTGGGCAGGGCTACTTCGGGCACAGTGTTTTCCGAACCACCTGGACCCCTCACTAGGCCCTGGGAGAAAGGAATTTTAGGACTGCCCCCTCCTGCTTTTATAGATGAGGAGCCTGAGGCTGAGTGTGGTGCCTTGCCAAGGACAACAGCAACACTGCACTTGAATCTCTGGTCGCTGCCCCCATAGTCCCTGCTGTTTCTCACCCCAGCCCCGTTGACCGGCCCTCAGCCACAGACCGCCATGGACAGGCTGGCACCAGGGAAGCCAGGGGGTGTGTCCCATGCCCCATAACCTCCAAGGGTCCACACCTTCCTGGGCCTCAGTTTACATGGTGGTGAAATGGTAATGAGGACACCCCCCTCCTAGAGTGGCTCTGGGGCTCCTGGTCCTGCACAGAAAGCGCACACACCACAGTAAGTGCTCGGTAAAGGCTGTGTGAAGAGTCTTGGGGGCCAACGCTGCTGTTTGGATCTGTGGATCCAGCTTGAGCCCAAGGGCCAACTCCCACTGTGCACGCCCCAGGGCCACATGGCCTGTAAGATGCTGCCATCCCCCTTGGCCTCACCATCGCCAGGGGCTACCCGAGGAACACCCTGCACCGATCTGGCTGAGAGAGCCGAGCTGCCGCCAGGCCAGCCACCTACGTGCCCTGCATGCCTTCTCTCAGGGTCGGTTTCCTCTAAGATGGGGTAACACAGGCACTCGGACTGAGCCCAGAAAGCCAGGGCGCACTGCTGCTGTGGGACAGGCCCAGCCCCGGTCTCCTCCTGCCGGCACCACACACACAGGCCACTGGCTTTAAATCATTTATTGATTAGTAAAGCTTAACCAGTTTGCATAATATTTTCAGTACAATATCTGGGAATGACGATTGAGAAAACCCCAAGGCACTAGAGGAGAGCATCTGAACACATGAACGAGATGGCAGGTTAGTGAGGCACTGGAGAGTCCGGCTGGGGGGACCAAGGGGGCCCTGAGCACCAGCCACCACGTATGTCCCATGGGTCTGAAGCCCCTGCCCTAGGAAGGGGACGGAGGGTGCGGGGCAGAGGAGGGCGCTGGGGCAGGCAGGAAGTCCTGGTCCCTGGGGACAGGGCTGCCAGGGTGGAGCTACCTCGGCTAGACCTTCACCCCCAGGAACAAGCCGCTGTGGAAGGAGCGCATCTGAGAAGGGAATTTTCAGGGTGAGGTGACTTGGAGGCAACAACAGCCAAGCCACAGCCTGACCCCAAATCCTCAGAGGGGCCACCGGCAGCGCCTTGGGGAGCTGTACTCAGCTCCCCTGGTGGACAATGTGTACCTTGGCAGTGGCCCACAGATGAATCTCCACCCCCACCCCGCAGACCCCGTCTCCGAGCACACGGCCACACTCCCCTCCATCCTACCCCGCAGCATGTGGCCGAGACAGGCAAGGGGGACAGAGGGACTCCGGGAGGCTGGCTGCCAATAGGCAGGAGATAGGCTAAGTGGTGGGGGTGGGGGGGTGCAGAAGCCTGCTCCACTTCCAGCAGCCTTCCATCTGCCACCTCAGCCTGCCTTGAAGACACTCCCAGCAATACTTCCCCACAGACCCCCTCTTCCCTCCCTTGAGACACTTCCTCTCCACAGACCAGCACATTCTGGGCCTTTCTCATTCCAATCCAAGCCACCTCACCCCTCCTCCTCCATGAGGCATCCCCCTCAACCCAGCAGCCCCAGCCTGGCTACAGTCGGAAGACCCCTCCTTGCACCTCCCCTCACCCAGAGCAGGGAAAACAAGGCCCGTGTCCCCTCCCAAACTGGCCTCTCAGGGCCCAGCCTGGATTGAGGAGGACACTGGGGCCCCCAGTGCTCCCTGGTCCTGGTTCTGATAAAGCCCTTGGTGAGAAGGGAGAGAAGCCAGTGGCCAAGTAACACAACAAGCAACCACTCTACCTCCATCTTTCTGAGAAGGCTGGCGAGACCCGGGAGGGAAACCGAGGCCATAAAAGGCAGGAGAGGAGGACCCAGGGAATCGGTGATCACTGGGTACACCTCAGCCCCTCGGCTGTGCCCAGCTTCCAGCACAAGCAGGAAGCCCAAGATCATGCCACAGAAGAGAAAACAGGAGCAAAGTGTGACCAAACCCAATAAAGTGACTCAGGTGGCCCCACCGACCTCCACCCCAAGGCACAGACCCGGGGCTCCCCGCCTAGAGCCAAGCCTGCCTGTGCCTTGGAGGGGGTGACCCATGTCCAGCAGAAGCTCAGGGGTGACCGGCCTAGAACTCAGTCTGTACCCCTGCGCTGTCCTCGGTGGTGGTGTGGATGGGGGGGCGGCCACCAGGGCTGGATACCTGCTCCCCAGTCTCCTGGTCACTAGGTTTGGGGGGCTCAAGGTCCGCAGCTTTTCCAGGAGGGGGTTGCCGAAGGGGCGAGGCTGGCGGCGAGGAGGCCTCAGGGGCTGCCACGGGCTGGGGGCTCTCTTGGGAGGGGGCCCCGTTGAGCAGAGGGCCAGCCGGTGGGGGGCTCTCAGCCCGCAGATCCCGGGCCAGCAGACCGCGCAGCTCGGTGACACTGTCCGGGGACGCAGGTGATAGTGGCTCCGAGCCAGCCTCAAAAGGCAGCCCTGCCTCCTCGTCCTGGACCACGGACACCACCTGCTTGGCACGCCGTCGCTTTTCCGAAAGCGGGGCTGCTTCCGGGATGCTGGGGCTGCCACTGTCCCCACCACTGCCACCATACTCCTCACCCCAGTCGATGGGTGCACCCTCCGCCAGCAGGTGCAAGTTGGGGTCACTATTGTGCATGACCATGCTGTCCCGGTACAGGTTGTGTTTCCTCTGCACAGCGGCCTCCTTCACAGCTGTGGAGCCCAAGGTGGGGGGGTCGGGACATTTACCACGGGTTCCATGGCCGCCGCCACCACCCCCTACACTGCGCCCAAATATGACCCACGTCATCCCCTCCAGGCCTCCCGACAGCCAGACCTGGGGTCATGATTGGGAACTGTCCCCCCACCCGGCCAGGCCTCACTGCTGGCGAGGAGTAGTGGTTACCGGGCTGGTAACCACCGTGTCAGCCTGTCCCTCGTACCAAAGACCGGAGAGGACACTAAGGCCCAGAGAAGCAAGTCTACCCTCCTACGTCCCCACCGCGTGCCTGACCCAACCCCCAGGCCTGTCTCGCCATCTTTGCAGGACGACCTCTCAGCAGCCCTGTCTACCGGCCCGCGGGCAGTGACGGTCCCCACCCGGCACGACGCCGGCCCTCCCATACCCTGCAGGATGTCCTTCATCACCGTCTGCAACACCACCTCCTCGTACGTGTTCTCCACTAGGATGAACCTGGCAAAGTCCTCGAAGATCAGCTCCTGGAACCGGGGCAGCTCCTGCGGCGGCAGGGTGGGCAGGGACAGAGCAGGGGGTGGTCAGGCCCGCCCTGGGCTCGGGGACCGCGGAGGGGGCTGTGCTCAGGGGGGGGGGGCCGCAGCAGACTTGGCCGGGGCGGGGGGCTCACCGACTTGCACGTGGGCGCCAGCTTCTTGAGCAGGAAGGGGATGGTGATCTGCAACAGCGCCTCCCGGAAGAATCGCTTCCGCACCGAGCTACTATCGTAGTCGTATTTCTGCCAGGGCAGAGGGGCCAGGGGCGGGGTCGCTAGGTCTGACCTGAGCCTTGCCCTCCTCCTCCTCTGTGGGGGCAGAGGTCCATGGTGCCTCCCCCGGGGGCAGCCATCCTGGTACCGGCCCAGGGGCCCGGCCTCACCTTGAGCACGCGCTCCAGGATCCGCTGGATGGACTTGCACAGCTCCTCCTTGGTGGGCCCCTTCCCCAGCTCCTGGTGCAGGAGGGTCTCGAAGGTGTACACGGCATTGTCCATTTGCTGTGGGGCACACCATGGAGTGCGTCAAGGCCCCGGAGGGAGCACAGCCCCCTTCCTGCATGCCTGGGCGGGGGCGGGGGGCCTCCTCAGCCAGCCCCCACCAGGCCTGCCAGGGAGGCGTAGGGGCGGCCTGCGTGCTCATTCCCTCGTTCACCCACATCTTTCCTGAATGTCTACTGTGCACTGGCATAATGCCAAGCACCGGGCCAGTCCCTGCCTCGAGGAAGCAGAGATCCTGGGCCCTGCAGGAAGGGACTTGGGGAGTAAGGAGGGCCTCCCGGAGGAAGGGGGTCTCCAGGTAGAAACCTGAAAGAGGAGGCCAGATCAGCCAGAGGAACGAGTGTCCCAGCAGACGGGAGCACCCAAGAGGCTGGAGCAGGAGTGAGCATTCCAGGGGCTGCACGGGGGCCAGGGCCTAAGGCCCGGATAGGGGCCTACGCTGGGCCGGTGGAAGGTGGGTGACGGGCATGGAGCAGCGGGGAGGGGGGCTGCTCCGGGCCCACCTCTCGCATGTGGATCTGGGCTCGCTGCTTGAACACGGCCGTGCTGGACACATCGAAACGCTGCTGCAGCCCATCAAGCCGCAGTGGCTCCATCTTCTCGTAGCAGCTCTGCATCTTGAGGGGGTGGGACGCCAGCTGGGACAGCTTCTCCATGTACTGCAGGGAAGCAGGGATGTGTAGGACCTGAGCGGGGGCCGCCGGGGCGGGGGCAGTGCCTGCAGACCCACACCCTGCCTCGGCGCTGGGGCTCCAGGCACTGGCCACCTGCAGGGGGTGGTGGCTGGGGGAGCCCAGGGAACGAAGGCTGGAGCAAGGCCCCGCAGCCTGGTACCAGCAGGGAGGCTCTCATCGCTTCTGGGGCACCAGGTGGCCTCGGGCAAGTCGCTCACCCGCTCCGAGCCTCAGCCTCAAAATTAGGAGATAGTGTCTCATGATCTCTAAGGTCCTTTCTGGTTCTCAATTTCTAGGATTCTTGCTGTCTGTGGACCCCTCAGTCCAGGGTGTGAAAGAAGAGAGCAAAGATTATGGGATCAGATATAGAAGGATGAGAACCAGGTGACTGAGAAGTGAGAGAGATGGGCCGGCCCCCATGTTGGGGTACGTGAAAAGGCATGTAAGTTGTTCTACCTCCTGGCAGAAGCTCACTTCCCCTTCCCTCTCTCCCTCCCCTTCTCCTTCCCTCCCCGTTAAGTCCTTTGATACTTCAGGAACCCACTTGGTTTATAAAGCCTGGTGGAGGGGGTCAGTGATCCCCTTTTTCTCTGAGTGCTGCCCCCCGTTTCTCACACCCTCAGCCCTCCGGGTGTCCAGCAGCCCCTCTGGTGACAAGTTACGCCCTGGATCGCAGGAGGGCCCGGCCGGCACCCCGCCCCCCCCCCCCCCCGCCCCTCACCCGGGCAGGGGCCTGGCCTCACCTCGCCCAGCTTGTCAGCACCGCCCTCGTTGATGACGTTCAGGTTCATGTCCGTCACCTCTTTGAAGAAGACATCCCGCACCTCGGTGAAGCCCTGGCTGGTGGGCACCATCAGGGCCTCCAGGATGGACGGGATGTAGGGCTGGACGTGGTTCCGGACGCACACCTCGGCCTTGGGGAGGATGAAGGCTGCGCCCAGAGGGAGCAGGTGAGCTGAGGGTACCGCCGGGGGGCAACCCCCAGCCACCTGGAGCCCAAGCTTTTAAAGAAAACCACTAGTGACATCAGCAAACTGAATGATTTGTAGGTACATGCACCAAAACCAGGGGAAGGGCGTCTGGGTGGCTCAGTCGGTTGAGCGTCCGACTTTGGCTCTTTGTGAGCCGGGGCCCCGCATCGGGCTCTGCTGTCAGCTCAGAGCCTGGAGCCTGCTGAGGGGCCTCTGTCCTCCCTCTCTCTGCCCCGACTCACACGCTCTCAAAAATAAAAAATTTTAAACAACAGGGGATTCTGAGATCGGACCCTGATCTTTCTAAAACTCTGATGGCAAGAAACTAAAACTGCTAGTCCATAGGGGTCAGCGTTCTGCTTTGCTCGAGGTGGAAAGAAACCCCTCTCTAGCCATCTTACTGCTTTAACAAAACAAAAAACACTTTGGTAGATTCAGCGAGCCTCTGGGTTTTTCACACACGGGCCGGTGTGCCTGGGTCTGCACCGCCTTGTAAAAGGCTGCTTGCTCGGGGGCATGACCAGCTCCATTTGCACCCAGGGCGTGTTTTGATGTCCCTCTCTCTGGCTGGCTGATGGTTTGTTGCCCAAGATAAATGTCAGCTCTCAGTGTTCCATCTGGATCACAACGAACACAGGTAGGAGAGAGTAGTCCTCAGGCAACGGACCAGCCCTGAAACCGCACACAGCCAATGTGGGGGGGGGGGGGGGACAGGGGGCCTGGAACAGACCCCGAAAAGTGAGATGTGATCAAAGTGAATCATTACAGTTAAACTGATGCCTATACTAACCCCAGGGTCAAGTCTGTGACTGACCATAGATGAGCAAAAGGCTTGAACTTCCTTGACAAAATTTATATCTTCCAGGTCTGGGTTTGCAGAAATAGCCACAGGACAACTCCCAGGGGTCAGAAGAACAACGGCCCAGATTTGATTTCATTTTTAAAAATGACCATCGATGGGATGCCTGGGTGGCTCAGTCGGTTAAGCGTCTCACTTCGGCTCAGGCCACGATCTCACCGTTTGTGAGTTCGAGCCCTGCGTCAGGCTCTCTGCTGTCAGCGCAGAGCCTGCTTTGGATCCTGAGTCCTCCTCTCTCTCTCTGCCCTCCCCCACTCGCATGAGCATGTACATTCTCTCTCTCAAAAATAAACATTAAAAAAAATTTTTTTTTTTTAATGACCATTGAATCAAGTCACTTAGCCTGAAAAGTACGCAGGTCGGTGGCACAGACAGGCGGCCCACCCCGGCCCCCGAGGCACGGCAGCTGGCTGCCTACCTCGGATCTTGCTGGCCAGGTGCTCCTTGGAGGTGATGATCTGGTCCATGTCCGTGCGGATGGCCGCCTCCATGGCTGGCCGGGCCAGCTGCAGCTTGGACAGCACCGCCTCAAAGCGCGCCTTGGCCTGCTCGTACACCATGCGGTACACAGCGTCTGAGATCTGGGGGCAGTGCCGCGAGTCAGCGTGAGGGTGCCAGGCGGGTCCGGGACCCCCGCCTCCACACCCACACCCACCTACCTGGATCCACTGCCGCTGTCGCTCCTGCGGTTTTCCCTTCAGCCGTGGGGCGAGCTCCGCCTTCAGCTCAGGGCCCAGCTCCTCCATCACCAGGTTGCTCAGGATCTAGGACAGAGAGCCACGAGCCGGGGCAGGGGTTAGAGCATGTCCAGATGGCGGGTTCCCCTCCACGTTCCACAGGCTGGCCACTCCAGCCCCACCTCTGGGCTTGACCTTGGCTTCACGTCTTCACTGGCCTCTCTCCTGAGCATCATTCCACCAGGTCCCGACTTACCTGCTTGAGGGACCTACGGGACCCTCGGCATCGGGGTCCCACCTCGGGGCCTTTGCACACGCTGCCTCCCTGTCTGGAATACCACACCCCTTCCCCCTCACTTGCACACAGAAGTATGTATGTTTCTTTGTCAAATGTCTGCTTCTCCTGCTAGATAGAGAGCCAGACTAAGGAACAGCAGCACCCCGCACCTGGTTCAGGATAGGTGATCTATAAGCGATCAGATCAAGTAAGTATCTCCACCGGTCCAAAATGGTCTTATTGTCTCCTTGCAAGCCAGGAGTGGCCCCCCCGAGGCCAGAGTCTCTGTGCTTGGCTCTACCCTCTGGACCTTAGGGTGACTTCCGCAGTCTCCTCACCTGCACCTCGTTCCCACACAGCATCTCCCAGGTCCCGTACAGCTCCTTGGACTGGCGGTACATGCGGATGGCGTCCGTGAACGCAGGGCCCTCTACCTTGGAGTTCTCAGGGATGCCTGCTCAGGAGAGGGGGGGAGGGAGGAGTCCGTGGGATGGCCCAGTGGCCTTCACCAAGACCAAGGGACTGACTGCCAGGACGCCCCCGCCCTAAGTGCACACACGTGCACACCCCCACCTGCAACTCCACTGCCCTCATAGTAACCGTGATGGCAGCATTTGCGATGACAGCGACAGCAATGATAACCCTCCACCAGCAGCACCAAGGCAATCTCCGTGGAACGCTCATCTTCTTAAACCTTCCCAACCATGCCCGAGACTGTCCTTAACCCTACTTGACAGATCAACAGGCAGGCTCCGAGGTCAGGCCACTGAGCGGCAGAGCCAGGCCCAGAGGTCACCACCCTGTGCCGGGAGAGGTGGTGGGCACAGCAGGGAGGGAGTCAGAGGGACCGAGGAGTCCTCATTCCAGTCCTGCTCCCTCCCCTGTCTACATCAGGGCCCGCAAACTTTCCCTGCAAGAGGCCAGCCAGTAAATATTTTCAGCTTCGCGGGCCAGATGAGCTCTGTCGTTAACTCCCCAGCGCTGCCACGGCAGCGGGGAAGGAGCCACAGACGATCTGGAAACCAACGGGCCCGGAAAACTGGATTTACAAAAACAGGCAACGGGCAGATTTCTGGTCCCTGTGCCGTAGTTCTTGTTCCAGATCATTGAACCCTAAGGGCCTCAGTTTCCTCTTCTGAACAGTGGGAACAAGGACCCGGCCTGGCCTCACACATCCACCGTGAGGCTCCGGCAGCCGCGGTGAGCCGCTGCCCTTGCTGCCCTGGGTCGGCCTCGCTCCCCACCGCGTCCGGGTCTGACTAGAAAACACCAGTCCTGGATTTGTGCTATTGGTGGCATTACTGTTACTGTGCTATTGGTGGCCCCACATGATCGCGCCCACCTTCCTGGTGCTGATGAGGTGGGTCAGCGAACAAGGCACGGCCCCCCTAGACCCGGTGCTGGGGAGGCAAGCTGCAGGAAGTTGCAAAATCCGACTTGGGATTTTGCACCGGGAGCCAGGCAGCGGGCGGCCACCCTGGCAGCACGCCCCCAACCGCTGTGTCCGCGGAGCCGGAGCCGAGGAAGGGGAAACAGCAGTCCGCGCCTCCGAAACCCCAGCTCCCACGGCGATGACTGCAGGCTGAGTCACTCCCGCAGAGAAAAAGCCCCTCTCGAGGGGAGGACCCCCTATCTCATCTGGCTGACTACAGGAGTCACTGTCAGAGTCCAGGGGGGTCTCAGCAGTGGGAACTGGGCGCAGCCCCACCTCTGCGGACAGCATCCTGGTCCGGGACGGGGGCGGGAGGAGGGTCTCCCCAGTACGTTTCAGGGACTGGAGATCAGGCAGGTGCGACCAGAACAGAGCAGGGGTGTTGAGCTGGGGTGCGTGCAGAGCCCGAGGTGGGTGCTGCCCACGAGTCCGGGGGAGGACACCCCCTCCTCCCCTCAGGCTCTCAGGAGGACACGGTTTCCCAGAGACCAGGGTTTGCCGAGAAAATGTGGGCCATGCGTCACATGCAACCTCTCTCACATGAGGGCATTTCCATTTACAGACGACAAGCCAGGGGCGTTGGCAAGGCCAGGCCGCTTTCCAGGTGGCGGGACGGGGAGATGGAAGGCTGGGGAGGCAGGAAGGAGGCTGCGAGGTCCCCAGGCCTGGCTCTCACGGCCACACATGCAGCCTCAGACCCTTAGGACATCTCTGCTCGCTGAGCTGCTGAGTTTTCTACAAGAGAGGGGGCCCCCTCTTGAGCCTTTCCCCCCACTCCCACCCCCAGCCTGGCTGTCACAAGGTGGGGGGGGGGCTGCACTGTGTCCCCCCTCAGACTGCTATGTTAAAGACCTAACTAACCCCTTAGTACTTCAGAAGGTGACTGTATCTGGAGATACAGCCCTTAAAGAGGTCATTAAGATAAAATGAGGCCATTAGGGTGGGTGCCGATCCAACATGACTGGTGTCCTTAGAAGAGGGAATTGGATGCAAAGCGTGCACAGGCAGAGGGAGGACTGTGCGAAGACACAGGAGAAGACAGTCACTGCAAGTCAAAGGCAGAGGCCGCAGAAGACTAAGCTACCTTGACCTTGGGACCTCCAGCCTCCAGAACCGTGGTTTAAGCCACCCAGTCTGTGGCACTTTGTTAGGGCAGCCCAAGTGGACTGAGACGCTAGCCCCGGGCCGAGACCTCGCACGCATTCCCTCATCCAATCCTCAAACAGCCCCACTTTTCCTGATGAGGAAACAGGCTCAGAGACACCAAGTTACTGGTTGGAGGACACACAGCTAGGGAGGGAATGGCAGCCCTAGGGCTCTAACACAGGACGAGCCGACTTCAGCCAGACCTGGTGACTTCCTGCCTGTGGGGTCCTCAGGGTCAGACTGAGAAAGGAAGCTGCATTCCTCAGCCCCAGGCAGCAGGCGAAGGGGGGTGGCAGTCAGACAGGAAGAGGCCTTGACCTCTGCAGCCCAGGCCCACCCTGAGGGCTCAGCTCCGTGCCCCAGCTGCCTCTTGCCACCCCCAGCTGCTCCAGGAATGCAGGATGTGAGGGGGGCCTTGGGACGGGCTGGCGTCCCCCCAGCTTGGCCTCCTTCCCCACCCCCCCCCACCCCCACTTCCTGGCAGCCCCCGAGTGAGCAATTCCAGGCCCTGCCTCCACGCTGGAGGAAGCAGAGAACTTTCCCACAGTCCTCAGGGCGGAGGGAAGGCTTCTCTAAATCCAGCCACAGGATGCCCCTTCTTTCCCACCCCCTCCCACCCACAGCACCCGCACCCACGGGGCTTCCCTCAGCCTCCCTGGGGAGCTCTCTGCACGGTGCCCGGCCCGGGGTCAAGAGCTCTGCCCAAACCAGTGCATTTAGACCTCCCAGCGATCCCACAAAGCTCGAACCTGTCATCCTCACATTGTACACGTGGGGAGCCCACCCCGGACCTGGCCTGGAGTAGCCCTGCCAGGTCAGCCATTAGCGCTAGAAACCTGGAGAGGGCAGAGCCGGGCCGGGGCTGAGGGGAGGGAGGAAGAAGGGAGGAGCGGGGCCGGTACCCAGGCCAGGAGGCCAGAGCCCAGATGGCCTCCGCCCAGCCCTGGCCCAGCAGCCCCCAGGGATCTGGGAACAGGAGGCCTTTTGTGGGCGGCCGGGCCTGGCCCAGGTGACAGCCGTTGGCCTGACTGAAGACCTGGTTCCTCCCACCTCACAGATTCCAGACCAGAGGTGGCTCTGAAAGGATGGGTGGGGCGAGCCGAGTCACCACAGCAGCCTGGCCTCCAGGCGTGAGTGCCCACACTGTCCGAGGTGGGCAGGAGCAGGGAGGGTGGGGGCGGTGGCTCCCTCCCCCCACTGCCCCAGGCCAGGTCATCAGGAGGAAGTCGGGAACAACCAGCACAGGCCATTCCTGCGCCACAGGCAGAAAGACCCTCAGTGCCCCACTGTCCCTATTTTGATCAAGCTCCAGAGCCCTGAAGGGCCCTCCTGACCTGGCCCAGTGCCCCTGCCAGCACTTGGGGTCACCCTCCCCCACTTGCAGGGCCTCAAGCAGTTCCTCCTCTAGACTGTTTTCCTGCCTCCAGGCTCAAGGCTAGAACACTCCTCCCTCCCTCCACTCCTCCCCCCACCCAAGGACCATTCGCCCTTCGGGTCTTGGCTGAACTGTGACCTCAAGGGCACACACAACCTCTGCTAGCCCACCCTCTGTGCACACACACACTCCAGGCTTCCACCCAGCACCCCAGGCAGCTGCTCCTGTTTAACATCTGTCTCACCGGCCAGACCACCAGAAGCACAGGGGCAGGAACTGAATCTTGCCCCCTTGCTGGGTCCTCAGTGCCCAGACACAAAAATGCTGAATCAATGAGTGAACAGAAAGAGAGCTCATAACTTGACAGAAGAGAACCCTGAGGCCCCAAGGAAGGACATGAACTTCTAGGCTACCCTACCGGTGAGGGGTAAGAAATGATATGATAAAAAAAAGTCATGTGGTGCCTTGTTGGCTCAGTCGGTGGAGCGTGCAACTCTTGATCTTGGGGTTGTGGGTTCAGGCCCCATGTTGGGTGTAGATATTGCTTAAAAATAAAATCTTTTTAGGGGCTCCTGGGTAGCTCAGCTGGTTAAGTGTCCGACTCTTGATCTCGGCTCAGGTCATGATCTCACAGTTCGAGAGATCAAGCCCCACGTCGGGCTCTGTGCTGAGAGTGCAGAGCCTGCTTGGAATTCTCTCTCTCTCTCTCTCTCTCTCTCTCTCTGCCCCTCCCACACACGTGTGCTCTCTCAAAATAAGCTTTAAAAAAAAAAAAGTAAAATAAGGTTTTTTTTTTTAAATTAAATAAGTCCTCACCAAGCATCAGGTGGACTCTCACTGTGATTCCTTACAAACACCCTAAGACTCAGGAGGGATTATTATCTCATTTTATACAGGCTCCAAGAGTCCCACTGCTAGAAAGAGGCAGAATCAAGATTGCTACTCTGTGACCCAGGGTCCAAGGACTCAATAATCATATCCCTCTGAGAACAGTTTCCCCAAATATTCCCCCCCACCGAGTAGCAGAGAACTGTTTTCTTCAAGGAAGAAGGTTAAAGGGCAACATCGCAGTGGCCTCCTACAGCCCCGAGCCGGAAACTTGCAACAGCTAGTAGAGCAGGGTTGCCGCACCACACTCGACCACTAGGTGTCGCCACTCAGCGCCGGGGCCTCCCCCCACCACCCCAGGGCCGGATGGCGTCTCACCATTGTTGCAGTGCCGGATACAGTCCTGCAGGACCGCATGCCACTTGTCCTGCTCCGCTTCCGTCATCATGCAGAAGTAGTAGTGCCGTGCAGAAGGGTGCCAGAGGATGAGCGGGAACTGCGTGGGGCACTTGAGGATGGGGGCACTGCCCGATTTTGATGTGGTCCCTGAGGAGACAGGGTCCCCTGAGCCGCTGCTCTCCGCAGTTTCCGTCTGCCGGGGGAGGCGGGCAGCAGATCCCTGGGCCTGGCTCCGAGGGGCTGCCGGCTCCAGCCCAGAGAGGGCTGACCTGTTCTGGGCTGACCAGTGAGTCAGCAAGAAGGCAGCATCTTTTTTTTTCTCACTGCATCCCCCAGAGCCTGGCTAAAGGGACCTCAGAACCCCCTGATGTCTGTGCAGACTCATTTCTCAGAGCTGGTGCTGCATCTTGGGGAAGGCTCTACGCTCCGTGCAGAAAACACAAATAACACAGAGTCAGAGCCCTCGGGCTCAAAGGCCGAGCATTACCTTCTTGGGTTTCCCTTCAAATTTCAGCCGTGCAGGCCAAAGTGTGGCTTAAATGTCCAAGGGGGGGGAAGGGAGGTCTGGGGGTGGGGGACAGAAAATAAATAAAAGGAGATTTTTCTCCATTTTGTCCGCAAGGATATTCGAGATCCAGTGAGATAAGTGGTCCTGGGCTGGGACCTTGCCACTGTTAATCATACAATGACAGTTCTTCTTTGCGCCTTGGCTCTGAGTCCCCGGGTGGGGCTTGGGTGTACACAGCACCTCGAGGGGTCTACACGACACCCCAAGGTCAGTCCTCTCGGTGCCAAGTTGCCGGAGAAGACACAACAAAAACAAAGCCAGAGTCGGGGCTGGAATCCAGGAATTCTGGGCTGTAGCTGAGCCCTCAACCACACGGGGCACTGTACTCCCAAGCCCTATCTGGGGGCACAGACTGCCCCCTAGATCAGCCTCTCCCCCACCCCTTGGTTTCCCTGGGATCATCTGGGAGGCAGATGTGTTCCTGTAAGGCTTCCGGGAGTCCCCGGCAGGGTGGGGTGGAAACAGGACGCCTAGAATAACTCCTCGCAAATGCAGTACTGACTCCACGGTTTACAAAGAGGTTCACCTCGGTCATCCTCTCCAGGGGCATTAAAAGGCCTCAGGGAGGTGGAAAGGGCAGAGAGTGGGACCCCCGCTGCATAGTTGTGACCGTAAGGCTCAGGAAGTGGGCACGCAGGGGGGAGCCGACAATGGTTCAGTCCCACTGAATCCCCGCCTGCTCAGCCTCAGGCAAACCCCCTCTCAGCCTCCCTGCTGAGGCCTGGCCATTCTCTCTGCAAATACGGACAGGAGCTCAGGGCTGCCCTCCCCCCTAGCAATGTCCTGGGCCTAAGCAAGGCATTTCGGCCTGGGATGGGGGGTCTTTACCTGGTAAGGAGTTGCCGACGAGCTCCAGGTACTGATCCACAGAGGTGAGGATTTTGTAGCCTGCACTGTTGATGACAGCCCGTGGTGGGACCTGTCGCTCGTAGGCCTGAGGAAGGGACAAGAGGAATGGTCCCTCTGGGTTATAGCGTGGCCAAGTCTAACTCTCATTTCCAGGTCTGGCTCCAGGGCCCTCTCAGTGTTGTCTGCCTGAGGCAGGGAGGAGGAGGGGAAGGAAAAGGGGAGGAGGGGAAGGAAAAGGGGAGGAG